GTCTATTTGGAAACCCAGGAAGGTTATCACTTGTGTTGGAATCAGTAATGATTTCTTGAGGTTTATTGTAAAACCTAGGGACTGAAGGAGAGTCACTACTAGCTGAGTATTTTTCAGAGCTTCCTCCACTGTTGCAGCCAGAAGGAGAAAGTCGTCCAGGTATATAAGGACTCGAATGGCCTTCCTCCTCAGGAATGCAGCAACAGGTTTTAGAACTTTCGTAAAAATTCTGGGGCCTGAGCACAGGCGGAATGGAAGAGCTTTGAACTGGTAACATGTTCCCTTCCAAATGAAGCAAAGGAACTTCGGGAAGACTCATGGACAGGCACAGAAAGTTAAGCATCTTTTAAATCTATATTTGTCATAAAATCTCCTGGTAAAAGCAATGTCTTTAGGCAACTGAGGTTTTCCATCTGGAAATGCTCGTTTACAATGAACTTGTTCAAAGAACTTAGGTCTATCACCGGACGCATAGATCCTACCTTTTTAGGTACAAGAAACAGGCGACTGTAAAAACCATCTCTGGTAAAAGGGGTTTTTTTGTATGGCACCTTTTTGCAATAACTCATTCACTTCTTGGGATATTAGGAGTGCCTCCTGACCCAATGCTTGGGTAAAAGGTGGAGACTTTTGAAAAGGAGTTTTGAGGAAACTTATCTTGTAACCTGAAACAATTGAGAGAATCTGTGGGTCCGATGTTAGGGTTCTCCAAGACATTATGCACTCTGAAAGTCTGGCTGACGTCCCTTCTGGTGAGGAGGACGAAAAAGCCTGTTTTTTGAACGAGGCCCTTGGTAATTTGACTGAGATTTAGAAGGGTTTGAATATCCAGTGGATTGATATTTGTTAAAGGTGTCTCGTCAATGTTTGCTCTGAGACTGGGAACTATTACTACGTCTAGAAAAGGATTTCCCTGTAGTCTGTGCCAAATTTTTCGCGAGGCCCCTTGACAACTCGGCCTGTTTTGAGGCCAGAGAGGGGAAATCATCTCCAAATAGCCATGATTTTGCATTAGGCAGAGGTAGTTCCGCGAGGTTCGTCCTCGAACAGTTTATGGCAGCAAGGACTCTCCGTCATCTCAGGATAGACAGCTGAGCATTGGCTGAGCCTACAAGGCAAAGAGCTTGCTCCAAAGGTACTTTAATTTCCTCATAAGTTGGAGCTGAATCATTTTCGATACAATCATGAAGGCCACAAAGTGGACCCGTGGCATTTAAGAAAGCACGCTGAACATTAAACATTTCCTTGTCCCTTTCTTGTACAAACTTTTTCACTTTAAGTGGTACTTGATTCAACAATTATTGTTGATCGAGTTTTGGAGCAGAGAGTACATCCACTTCAGGAGTCGCCCGGTCATCCATAATAACCAGAGATTGCCGGTAAGATAATTTTCTCCAAAAGTTAGTATCCAGAAACTTGGAGAAAGAGGCTGATGGTTTCCAGGAGGTTGACTTGGCAACTGGGTCAAACAGCCCATGATCATCACTGGTATTCGCTGAGTTTTCAGCTTCGTCAGATGTCTTACTAGACTCTATTGGTGCCTTAGTAGGTACTACAGGTGCCTGAATAGGCTCTACGGGTGCCTTAATAGGCTCTACAGGTGCCCCAATGGGCGTAGTAGCAGTCTTAAAAGATGCTTCCGTCGCCAAAGGTTCGCTTATCTCCAAGCCTGACATTTCATCAGCCATAATGGACAAAGCATTGTCGTCAGTATCTGCAATAGTTTCTGGGGACTTGGGACTCTGACGAGTCTATTCGGTTGGAAAGACGTTCAATAGACTGAAGGATCTTCTGAAGGGAATTGTTTTCATCCTTGCGCCGTTTTGGCGGGGACACTTCATGATGTACGTCAGGCGACGAAACAGAGTTTTGTCGGGAAGATGGCGACCGCGTACAAGTCCTTTTATACGACTTAAGTCTTCTGTGGGACATGTTCAGCAATTTTTAAATATCCTGAAAACCAACAAATATCACCAAAAAGAAACCTACTGCGTAAAAACACAGAGGTATAGCCTAAAAAACGGTTAGAATTAGTAAAAAAGGCAAAGCAAAAGCAAAATACTTACCAAATGGTTTGAAGCACAAGGAAAAAAGCCACCGAAGCATCATGGGACCACAAGATCTTGGTCCCAGGGCCTTGTGGGTATACCCAGGCCCCTAGTATTGTTTTCTTTAGGGGGGTTCACCCTTCTGTTGGCGTTAAAAATTGGTTTGAAGCACTAACTGGGAAATTCCTACCATTTGTTGTCTCATATATTTCGAATGGAGTCTGTGAAATATAATTCTGTCATCATAGATCCTAACTCTCCTCTGGGAGAATACATAAATAAATAAATAAATAAATTCTACAGTCTATTGCACAATGAAGCCAGTAAATGAGAGTTTACCATATTCACCAGTCCCAAATTGACACCCAGTCAGAGGAGTTGGTTATAATATGTATAATATTAGTGACCCAACAGTGCATTTTGGGTCAAGGTAATTTGGTCATGGTCCTTGCTCAGTTAACATTTGAGTGTTGCATTTATGAAACAGCTAAATTGCAATTATACAGAAAGCATGTCACATGGTTTTGACATTTATAATTTTAAGACAATTAGCTTGAGAATGCCAAGAATATTTTGCACAATTTTACTTCAGTGGGACACGGATATTGCCAAACTCTTGTTCATTTTGTGCCATGGCAAAGTTTTATACAAACAAAGTTTTATACAAACAAAGTTTTATACAAGGAGGTTCTGCCCCAAGGTCCAAATCCTTTCCCTTTTGTGTAGTGTTTTTTTCCAGAAAAGGTTACCC